TTTCAGCGTTTTTTTGTCTCACCATTTGCCTCAAGAATCCTAATTTACACTGCTCCCAATTTACACTACTCTTTTCAGAAGATACGGTAAGACGGTCTGCTTAGAGGAAACAAACATCTGATGCCAAAGAAAACTTTTGGCAGAAATTTTCAACAACTTCAAAAAAAAAACGAAAAAACAGAACCTGATTATAGGACATTTCGTTTTTCTTTTCCGCTGAAAAGCAGGAAGTTTAAATTTAAATAATAATCGCGTCTTAACGCTCAACAAGTAGTACGCCAGTTTTCAGCTTTTTTTGGCTCATCATTTGCCTCAAGAATCCCAATTTACACTGTTCCCATTTTACACTACACTGTTCAGAAGATACGGTAAGACTGTCTTCTTAGAGGAAAAAACATCTGGTGCCAAAGAATACTTTTGGCAGAAAATTTCCACAACTTCAAAAAGTAAACAAAAAACGGAACCTTATTATAGGACATTTCGTTTCTCGTTTTCACTAAAAAGCGGGAAATTCAAATTTGATTAATAATCGCGTCTTAACGCTCAACAAGTAGTACGCCAGTTTTCAGCGTTTTTTTTGTCTCACCATTTGCCTCAAGAATCCTAATTTACACTGCTCCCAATTTACACTACTCTTTTCAGAAGATACGGTAAGACGGTCTTCTTAGAGGAAACAAACATCTGATGCCAAAGAAAACTTTTGGCAGAAATTTTCCACAGTTTCAAAAAAAAAAAACGAGAAAACAGAACCTGATTATAGGACAATTTGTTTTTCTTTTCCGCTGAAAAGCAGGAAGTTTAAATTTGAATAATAAACGCGTCTTAATGCTCAACAAGTAGTACGCCAGTTTTCAGCTTTTTTTGGCTCATCATTTGCCTCAAGAATCCCAATTTACACTGTTCCCATTTTACACTACACTGTTCAGAAGATACGGTAAGACTGTCTTCTTAGAGGAAACAAACATCTGATGCCAAAAAAAAACTTTTGGCAAAAAATTTCCACAACTTCGAAAAATAAAGAAAAAACGGAACCTTATTATAGGACATTTCGTTTCTCGTTTTCACTGAAAAGCGGGAAATTCAAATTTAATTAATAATCGCGTCTTAACGCTCAACAAGTAGTACGCCAGTTTTCAGCGTTTTTTTGTCTCACCATTTGCCTCAAGAATCCTAATTTACACTGCTCCCAATTTGCACTATTCTTTTCAGAAGATACGGTAAGACGGTCTTCTTAGAGGAAACAAACATCTGATGCCAAAGAAAACTTTTGGCAGAAATTTTCCACAACTTCAAAAAAAAAACGAAAAAACAGAACCTTATTATAGGTTATTTCGTTTTTATTTTCCGCTGAAAAGCAGGAAGTTTAAATTTGAATAATAAACGCGTCTTAATGCTCAACAAGTAGTACGCCAGTTTTCAGCTTTTTTTGGCTCATCATTTGCCTCAAGAATCCCAATTTACACTGTTCCCATTTTACACTACACTGTTCAGAAGATACGGTAAGACTGTCTTCTTAGAGGAAACAAACATCTGATGCCAAAAAAAACTTTTGGCAAAAAATTTCCACAACTTCGAAAAATAAAGAAAAAACGGAACCTTATTATAAGACATTTCGTTTCTCGTTTTCACTGAAAAGCGGGAAATTCAAATTTAATTAATAATCGCGTCTTAACGCTCAACAAGTAGTACGCCAGTTTTCAGCGTTTTTTTGTCTCACCATTTGCCTCAAGAATCCTAATTTACACTGCTCCCAATTTACACTACTCTTTTCAGAAGATACGGTAAGACGGTCTGCTTAGAGGAAACAAACATCTGATGCCAAAGAAAACTTTTGGCAGAAATTTTCAACAACTTCAAAAAAAAACGAAAAAACAGAACCTGATTATAGGACATTTCGTTTTTCTTTTCCGCTGAAAAGCAGGAAGTTTAAATTTAAATAATAATCGCGTCTTAACGCTCAACAAGTAGTACGCCAGTTTTCAGCTTTTTTTGGCTCATCATTTGCCTCAAGAATCCCAATTTACACTGTTCCCATTTTACACTACACTGTTCAGAAGATACGGTAAGACTGTCTTCTTAGAGGAAAAAACATCTGGTGCCAAAGAATACTTTTGGCAGAAAATTTCCACAACTTCAAAAAGTAAACAAAAAACGGAACCTTATTATAGGACATTTCGTTTCTCGTTTTCACTAAAAAGCGGGAAATTCAAATTTGATTAATAATCGCGTCTTAACGCTCAACAAGTAGTACGCCAGTTTTCAGCGTTTTTTTTGTCTCACCATTTGCCTCAAGAATCCTAATTTACACTGCTCCCAATTTACACTACTCTTTTCAGAAGATACGGTAAGACGGTCTTCTTAGAGGAAACAAACATCTGATGCCAAAGAAAACTTTTGGCAGAAATTTTCCACAGTTTCAAAAAAAAAAAACGAGAAAACAGAACCTGATTATAGGACAATTTGTTTTTCTTTTCCGCTGAAAAGCAGGAAGTTTAAATTTGAATAATAAACGCGTCTTAATGCTCAACAAGTAGTACGCCAGTTTTCAGCTTTTTTTGGCTCATCATTTGCCTCAAGAATCCCAATTTACACTGTTCCCATTTTACACTACACTGTTCAGAAGATACGGTAAGACTGTCTTCTTAGAGGAAACAAACATCTGATGCCAAAAAAAAACTTTTGGCAAAAAATTTCCACAACTTCGAAAAATAAAGAAAAAACGGAACCTTATTATAGGACATTTCGTTTCTCGTTTTCACTGAAAAGCGGGAAATTCAAATTTAATTAATAATCGCGTCTTAACGCTCAACAAGTAGTACGCCAGTTTTCAGCGTTTTTTTGTCTCACCATTTGCCTCAAGAATCCTAATTTACACTGCTCCCAATTTGCACTATTCTTTTCAGAAGATACGGTAAGACGGTCTTCTTAGAGGAAACAAACATCTGATGCCAAAGAAAACTTTTGGCAGAAATTTTCCACAACTTCAAAAAAAAAACGAAAAAACAGAACCTTATTATAGGTTATTTCGTTTTTATTTTCCGCTGAAAAGCAGGAAGTTTAAATTTAAATAATAATCGCGTCTTAACGCTCAACAAGTAGTACGCCAGCTTTCAGCGTTTTTTTGTCTCACCATTTGCCTCAAGAATCCTAATTTACACTGCTCCCAAGTTACACTACTCTGTTCAGAAGATACGGTAAGACGGTCTTCTTAGAGGAAACAAACATCTGATGCCAAAGAAAACTTTTGGCAGAAATTTTCCACAACTTCAAAAAAAACGAAAAAACAGAACCTGATTATAGGACATTTTGTTTTTCTTTTCCGCTGACAAGCAGGAAGTTTAAATTTAAATAATAATCGCGTCATAACGCTTAACAAGTAGTACGCCAGTTTTCAGCTTTTTTGGCTCATCATTTGCACCAAGAATCCGAATTTACGCTGCAGTTGACCAGCAAGTTGAATTTGACAATATTAGAAAAATGAGCGTTTGACCAGCGTAAGAAGAATCTGATTGTGAAATCAAACGAATTCAGAAACAACAAAAAAAGTCAATTTTAAATGCCTAATTCTGAATTTTAGGAAAAATCAACCAAAATCAATTAGCTCACCAGAAACAAAACGAAAAAAAAAACCTAATAACGTACATAGTATTTTTGTGCCGTGTATCAAATTTTCGCTCATCTTGTCAATGAGTTCTTTTGTTACCAATCGGATATTCATTCATAACTTCCCTTATAGGTGAGGTTATTTAGCAATACATTCATTTTTTTGATTACCGCTGCAAGATTCGCTGTACCAAGGTATGCATTTGAGCGTTGGTGCATTTGAGCGTTCGCATTTAAGGAGTTTTGCGACAAAAATGTTTGTTCTATATGTTGTTTATCAGTCACCTTTTCTAGTCTTTTGGATTCCATTTTTAAAGGCGCATATGTATTTCTAAGGGGCATTTTTTAAGAAATTAAAACAATATTTCGAGGGAAAACTATAAAGAAAAAAAGATAATTTTTCTATAACAACATAATTTAATTGCTAGTTTTGATACGCTTATTGGATCTTGTTAACTATCCCCCCCTTTTTGGACCTTGTTAACTATCCCCCCCCCCCTATGCATGTACTATTTTTGACAACAATTTCTGTATAAAATATGCATTTCAAAAATGTGTAACATTAATTGGGTTTTCATTTTTGCGCGTTCGTATTTGTATTACTCACTATTTATATAAAACCTTCACAAAAATTTTTAATTCAGTATATTTTCTGAAATTGTTTTAAGCTTATTGAAAATTTGGCAGCCAAAGTTGAATTTCTGAAAATCGAAATAGGGGGTGGGGGAATAGTTAACAAAATCCCGCTTATCATTACGTCATTATTAAAATAAAACTCACAGAAGTCTTTTTAGTATTTTATTTGCAAAATGGGAATTGAGAGCTAGTTTTTACAAATTTACAATGTAAATGACAACAACACACTACATTAGAATAAGAAAATCATAGCACTGAGAATTTTAAAAAAGCTCGGCTAGGATATTTTATTTACTGTAAACTTAACAATTTTCATGAGAATCATTCATTCACGTATTCAAGTTTTCTTTTTTTTCACAAAAAAAAATCATATTTATTCGTGGAAACTTTTTTGAAAATTATATGCTCACTTTCGAAGAGTTCAACGTGTATTTTGAAATAGAACATCCATAATTGATGAACTTTTTCTCGTCAAAAAATAGGTTTTAAACGTGTTTCTAACGTTTAAGCATCACACTCCCAGTTTTCATCAAGTGCTTCAAAGTAATCTCTGAAAAACACCTAAATTTTAAAATGAGTATAGTATTTTTGATTTTCACCCGATTACGATACTATTACTATGGTGCTCAACGTTAGCCAAACTTATTTTTAGAAATAGATAGAACATCAACAATTAACAGTCCTTGTTAGGGGATTATTCTCGTTACAGAAGGATCGAAACATTTCAACCATTCAACGTGCTTTAAGCTGACCAAAACTGATTTAATTCCAATTCATTTTCAGATTTTCGAATACTGAATTCTGATTGGCTAGTATTATTTTGGGGTATTCGATCCATCGTTGACAAGAGCAATTCTCCCGTTGTTTAACAAAGAGAGATAAAAAGATAAAGTTAAGTTCAACAGAGGTCAAATTGCAAGTACTTCCGTTCTGTGTTAATCTAACCAGCCAACCAAATTTCACTTCTCATAAAGGTGTTTGTTCTTCATCAAAAAAGCCGCCATGTACTCGATTGGATTGGGAGGTCTCTCTTTCGCTACTGTATTCATCCCCTTAAACAGCAAAAAAATAAATAGGTTAAAAACGTTCAGAAAATGCAACAAAGGAAACACGGTCAGAAAACTTCATTACTCAAAAAAAATTCGGCAAAGTTATTGAGCTTTCAATCTTTTCAATCATCACTTAACTCGAACAAATTTCGTAATTAACATCAATACAGCAGCGGATTTAGCTAGCGAAAAAATCCACTGCTACAGATCGTGAAAAGAGCCACCAAATGATCACTTTACATACTAAAATCTTCACGGCCTATGTAAGAGACTACTTTCATTGACTCTTATTAACTGTCAAAAAATTATGAAATTGCTTAAGTAAACAGTTATCATTAATTTATAAATGGAAAACGATTATTAGTCAAAAAATGGTATAACAAAAATAGATTATAGGATATTCGGAATAACTCAGAACTATAGGGTCCAAATTACCTGTAGCACAATTGGCACTACTGTTTGTTCCAGATACTGTCTGGCTGGTAGGTTGTCCACTGGCCCCTTTTTACTCTCGTCCAGAGGTGGGGGGTCCAATTTGTCAGTCATCTCTTTCACTTCTGAATTGGCAGGTGGGGGACCTCCTTGATTGGCAGCTGCTGTTTCTTGTGTCGTCATTCTAGATTTCGGTCAAAACACCGGTCTGAAAAAAAATTAAAGCTCACTTCAGGTGCTAGAGCATACAACGAGACTGAGTTACAACGACATTCCTCGATCTTTTGACGCAGGTGCAGAATTTTCGGTTTGCAAATTAAGGTAACTTTGATGAAGAAACCTTTGAAGGAGCGCTCGCACAGAGTTTGACCGCTCTACAAGAAACCGAACACTTCGAGAATTTATATGATGAGTGTTTTTGAACTCTCAAATTTTTTGGATTCATAAAATTGTTTCCCCCATTTGTACTTCTGTTAATCAGTTGTTAGTTCACTCAACATAATCAATAACTCGTTTCCAACAAGTTACTGTTGTTACTGAAATTTTCTCTCTAAGTTACGTATGCTATCTCCATTTAAGTTTATCATGATAAAAAGACAGGAAAAAAGAAGCAATTTAATCAAGTAAACCACAATACCTCTTTAATAAAAAAAATATCCACCACTATTTTACAAAAAAAACTCAACAGTCAAAATGACGTAATAATTCTTTTCCATTCCTAAAAAAAGTTGAGAACAGAATAATTTCTTTTTCAAATGATAATTGCAAAAATATCACATAACACAAATTTTCCACACTTCTTCGTTTATAATAAATTGCACGTTCTCGAATAGTGGAATTCAACAAAATATTTTATCATTTGAGTTTTATTGCTTCTCGCAGCTTGTATCAATAATTTAGCCTTTAATTTCCTGTTTAAGTTTGAACCAATCATTTTGAAAATAATAATCAGATTTCGAGTCGAATGTTAATCGCATCTCCGTACAGAATATAATTCATCGAGCGTAAAACTTTCTTAGAAACATCAACTTTCGCCTCTTTTGGGTTATTCGAATACACTGACTTGAAATTTTGCCCAGCGTGAAACAATGATGCTTCGTGCAAGTTGAACACCGAGTTAGTTTTCACTTTAAAAGGTACTTTATCCATACTTTTATATTTCAAAACTTTCACTAAACGACCAAAAACATCTTCAGATGGTCCCAAAAGTTTTTGCGAAAACGCATTCGACCTCTTGACATAATCTGCAACTACTACCAAAGCATGAACTAGTGCTTCCTTCGCGCTTTCTCCTTTTCCCGCAAAAGTCAACAACGGCGATTCCTCGTTTTGTAGACGAACTTCAACAGTCGAGTAAAACTTCGCAAACCCGTTTGGAACCGAATCAAAACTTACGTCGCGTGGATAAAATTGAACTCCTTGCTTTTCTAAAAATTCTTTCAATTCTTTTTCTCTCTCGTCCAAATTTTCAAATTTTTCAACAACAGGTACACAAATCCTTTGATTAATTATAAACCTTTCAACTTTAACTAATGTGTCCAAATGCTTTTCTTGTAATTCTTTCTCTTTCTTCGCAATTAGCAATTCGGCCTCATAATGAGCTATTTCCTGTCGCAATTTCTCGTTTTCTTGCTGTATGTGCTCTTCGCGAGAGCTCGTTGAACTTTCACATTGCGAAGGTTGTTTCGTTTCCAGGCATTGCTTTTTGGCAGAATTATTTCGATCAGGAGCTACAGAATGTTCTCGTTTTTGAGCCATTGAAGTCGCACTTGAACTTGAACTATTTACGACATTTTCTCGATTAGATGTCGGGCTTTTCGATTCGTCATCCGGTCTGAACGGACTAACCATCGCCGTTTTCACCAACGATTTTGCACGTAGAACTTTAATTTCTTCACGAACTTCCAAATCTTTCAAATTAAATCTTGAATCGCCTTTCTTTTTGGACAGAAAATAGTTATACAAATCAGTCGCGTCTTGATTAAACTCTCCGTACAAAATAAGCACCGCAACTTTTTCAAAAGAAGATTCTGTATCCCAGCCTCGCCCACTGTACACAATATTGTTTACTTTCACAGTTGCTAAGTAATCGCTGCCTTCTTTTTGGTAACTTTCTTTGGGAATATTGAAATTTTGCCGCTTTGCCAGATAAGTTAGAGCATCGGTGGGCTTTCGGGGTTTGAACGCTTCGACTGGCTGAACGTCCATTGGTTCCATTTTACACTGAGCTGGACCAGCCATTTCATGCACCTGAAAAATTATTAGTTGAGCTATACGAATGATCACAATGCCCGTATAATGACTGATTAAAACATTAGGCATCCATTTACCAACTTTCAATTTAGAACACTGTTTGTTCATTATTTCTTTGTGATATTTGTTTTTTTTTTCAGAAGAAGAACTCCCCAATAGTCGCTTCCTACCGCCTTCGGTGACCAAAAAAATATGCAGTACTTCGGCTAAACTTTGCTTATTATCTAGTACGAGTCCAGACTGCTTAAATCGAGTCCAGAAAATCAATCCGTTAAAAATTAAACCAGATTCAAAAAGAAAAAAACAAGCTGAGGTGATTGAATGTCGTTTTATGATGTCGGATGACGGCTAAGACCAGCAGTAGACTCAAATAATTCACAAACGATCTGTTTACAGTGTCTAAATTTTGTTTTACTTTCATAATCCATTGACGTGGCATAAAAATGAAAAGATAGAATCAACCTGACTTTCGATGATCACAACCAGTTAAGTATGTTGTACAATATTTCTTCATAATCTCTTATCCCATTCTCAACATCATTCTTTCTGATTCAGTTTTTTTTCTGGGGTGGATCTATGTCGAATCAATAGAGAGGCCGCGACCGAATGGGTAAGGCGCAAGGTCGTGTATTTGAATCCTCAGTGCGGTTCCGGATGGAGAGCTCAAAGTTTCAATCGCCTCCGCAACGTGAGATGACCACAGCGAAACCGAAGACAACACCCCGCACCTGCCCCAGGATGGCTCGCAATTAGTAGTTTCAATGTCTCACAAAAAAAGGTATAACAAGAAAGAAAAAACAGTTCTACAGAAAAAAACTATTTCTATTCAAGTAATTTAAAATTCAAGAATCTTTGGATGAAAATGAATTGAAATATACATTTTTGAATTCCGCTGGGGTACTTCAGGTTTAAATTCATTTTAAAACTAAAAATCATTCACGTTTTTTGAAGAGAATAATTTGTCTCTTATTTAGCAAATTAATTTGAGGTAATTTACAAAGAAACCATAAGCAAACAGCCAAAATACAGCCATTATTAGTGGAAAACACAAGACTCCCGTCAAATTTAGACCCGGATACTCAGTTATTTTACAGTTTAAAATATATAACAAGGATAGCCGGTTACTGTGCAAGTAGCACTGAATGTTCCGACCATAGTCTTCAAAATAACTACAAGATGAAGTTTTTTTTTCAAATAAGTTTTTCTGCGTGGGGTGATAAAAAAGTCTGATCTAAGTTCATATTTTAGGCATATCTGACATTCATATTAAAACAGGCAAATAAGACACAAACAAAAACAAAAAAATCAAAAGATTTCAAATTTTTCTTCCAATTCATTTTAGAAGTTTTTGGAGTTTGGAGCTACAAAACTCCAAAAATAACCCAGAATGGAGCTACAAAACTCCAAAAACAAAATTTACTTGCTTAAAGTTAAACTTTTAGGGCCTAAATTTTAAAATTCTCCTGATTAAGCTGTAGTAAGCCTGCTCGCTTGCTTTATTTGCTCGAATTAAGACAAAAAATCAAATATTTCCAACCGGTTTTTCTCAACACTGGGAAAGAATTTTCAAGATTTTCTAATGTCATTCGAATCACGACAGAGAGAACTTTATTATCACTCACCCAGCCCGTTGATTACTCGTGGTAGCTGGTTTTGCGTGTAAAACAAAAAACTTAAACACACTCGAATACAAAGTTCCTTCCCATTTTCAATGGTCGGAACAAAAACACGAAATCGATTGCAAGGTTGAAAGTCGCCCCAATAAGTTGTGCTAATGGCAATTATTGTAACCTCCGATATTTAATCTTTCAATAACAATTGTCGAAATTAAAGCCTGCGCCATTATCGCTTTTTGTAAACTTGACATCAAGAAACATAGCAACGACCCCAGCCAATGTCAAAATTAGACCGAATAACCAGCACTTTCAAATATTGAAAAATACTCCAACAGTCGCTTCCTCTCGCCTTCGGTGACCAAAAAAATTATGCAGTACTTCGTCTAAACTTTACTTCAATTAATTAAGACAAAAAACCAAATATTTCAAACCGGTTTTTCTCAACACTGGGAAAAATTTTTTCAAGATTTTCTAATGTCATTCGAATCACGACAGAGAGAGCTTTAATATCACTCACCCAGCCCGTTGATTACTCGTGTAGCTGGTTTTGCGAGTAAAACAAAAAACTTAAACACACCCGAATACAAAGTTCCTTCCCATTTTCAATGGTCGGAACAAAAATACGAAATCGATTGCAAGGTTGAAAGTCGCCCCAATAAGTTGTGCTAATGGCAATTATTGTAACCTCCGATATTTAATCTTTCAATAACAATTGTCGAAATTAAAGCCTGTGCCATTATCGCTTTTTGTAAACTTGACATCAAGAAACATAGCAACGACCCCAGCCAATGTCAAAATTAGACCGAATAACCAGCACTTTCAAAACTTGAAAAATACTCCAACAGTCGCTTCCTCTCGCCTTCGGTGACCAAAAAAATTATGCAGTACTTCGTCTAAACTTTACTTCAATTAATTAAGACAAAAAACCAAATATTTCAAACCGGTTTTTCTCAACACTGGGAAAAATTTTTTCAAGAATTTCTAATGTCAATCAAATCACGACAGAAAGAGCTTTAATATGAAATATCACTCACCCAGCCCGTTGATTATTCGTGGTAGCTGGTTTTGCGTATAAAACAAAAAACTTAAACACATCCGAATACAAAGTTCCTTCCCATTTTCAATGGTCGGAACAAAAATACGAAATCGATTGCAAGGTTGAAAGTCGCCCCAATAAGTTGTGCTAATGGCAATTATTGTAACCTCCGATATTTAATCTTCCAATAACAATTGTCAAAAATAAAGCCTGCTCCGTTATGGCTTTTTGTAAACCTGACATCAAGAAACAGAGCAACGACCCCAGCTAATGTCAAAACTAGACCGAATAACCAGAACTTTCAA